AAAATACCCAACCAGATGCAAGTTATCTAATTCAAGTTGGGGGTTAGGGGCCCTGATACTGTCTTGTAGCCACCTGTGGCTGTGAGTCAGGGTCATATGCTCGTAAGTCATAACCTGACCACCAGGTAATCACAACCCCAACCCTGTAACTTTAAAAATCTGCACTTATGTACGCAGCCCAATCATGGTCCTTTCCCTGCTTCTGTAGTCCCACCTGCTATGATGATGGATTGACCTGCCACCAATCAGGACCTTGGGATGATTTCCTTCGTTCTTGATCATGTACAATGAACAACGTGACTGTGACTCAGAGGATTCCATTGGCCTCTGTACCGTGTGCATGCTGATGGTCTGCCTCCCTCATCGGTACGATTATGCTGATTTTGTCTTTGTCCTGTTTGAATTGTGACGTTGGTGAAGAATACCAAAAGTACCATGGACTGGCAGAAGAATGAAAAATCAGTCCTGGGAGAAGGGCAGCCGGAATGCTCCTTGGAAGCAAGAATGGCCAGACTTCATCTCACCAACCTGGGTCATGTTGTCAGAAGGGGTCATTCCCAACAAACACAAGGCCATCATGCTTGGTAAAGTACACGGTCAGCTAAAAAGGGTAAGACCCTCACTGAGATGGACTGGCATTGGCTGCAGTGATGGGCTCCAGCGTAGCAAGGATCGCGAGGCTGGCGCAAGACCGGGCGGTGTTTCCTGCTGTTGTACACAGGGTGGCTGTGTGCCGGAGCTGACTCGATGGCACCTGACAACAACAATGGTTCCTTCAAAAGCCTTGTGTGCATGTGGTGAGCCGCCTCTTTAACGCAGAGTCAGCCTTAACGACGTCGATGGAATAAAGCTTTTGGGAACTTCACTTGCTCATGGTGAAGGTCTTGACCTTGATTCTATCCTTCCTGTATTCAGAGACCATCTCAAGAATGGACTTGATGCATTGAACACCAATGACTGAAGCCAGACGAAGTGTGGGATGACATCAAGAACATCATACATAAAGAAAGCAAAAGGTCATCAAAAAGATAGGAAAGGTAGCAAAAACCAACTCAAAATGGGAAGAAACAGCTGCAATCATTCATTAATATGAGAACGTGGAATGTACAAAGTATGAATCCAGGGAAACTGCAAGTTGTCAACACTGAGATGGGATGCATACAAATTGATACCCTAGGCATTAGTGAGGTGAAACAGACTGCTCTAGGCCCTTCAGAATCAGACAAACATATTGTCTATGATGCCAGGAATGACAGACTGAAGAGGAATGGTATCATGTTTATCGTCAAAAAGAACATTTCAAGATCTGTCCTGAAGTACAATGCTGTCAGTGATAGGATAATATCCACACTCCTACAAGGAAGACCAGTTAATACAACTATTATTCATATTTACGCACCAACCACTAAAGCCAAAGATGAGGAAATTGAAGATGTTTACCAACTTCTGAAGTCTGAAATCAACCAAACACCCAATCGAGATGTATTGATAATCACTGGTGATTGGAATGAGAAAGTTGGAAACAAAGAATCATTGGTAGTTGGGAAATATGGCCTTGGGGACAGAAATGACACCAGAGACTGCATGATAGAATTTCGCAAGGCCAACAACTTATTCATTACAAACACCTTGTTTCAACAACATAAATGGTGGTTATGCATGTGGACCTTGCCAGACGGAATACACAGGAATTACGTCGACTCCATCTGTGGAAAGAGGTGATGGAGAAGCTCAGTATCATCAGTCAAGACAAGGCCAGGACATTCACACCAAGTAGGTACAATCCTTAGATCAGTCACGGGAGATCAGAAGGGCAGTCTTCGTACATCGAGATAGCTCAGAGGGCAGGAACGCATAGGAAAAGACACAGGGAAAGGTAACTACAGGAGGGAAATGGGAAGAGAGCTGTGACATTAAAAAAAAAAAAAAAAAAAAAAAACCAAAGTCACTGCCATCGAGTCAGATCCAACTCATCAGATCCAACTCATGGAGAACCCTCTTTGGGTTTCCGAGTGGTACCACTACAGAAGCAGTAGTATTCCTCCTGAGGAGTGGCTGGTGGGTTTGAACTGCCAGCCTTCTGGTTAGCAGTCAAATGCCTCAGGCTACAGGGATGGCAATCAATGTCATGAAACAAAACATGTATGAACTATTGTACGGAAAATGAATTTGCTCTGCAAACTTTCACCCTAATCTCTGTCTCTCACACACACACACACACACACACACAGAGAGAGCATGTGAGCCAGCATGGGAGAGGGTGAGTGGCCAAAGGGCTGATACTGTGAGGGATTAGAAAGAATGATGTGAATCAGCGAGCCCCAAAGCTCAAAAGATGAATAAATGGTGGCAAGAGCAACAACAAAAAAAGAAAGGCAGAAGGTGACGGTGGAACAGACCATCAACCGCTCATGTGCAAGTTCAAGTTGAAGCTGAAGACAATTAAAACAAGTCCACAAGAGCCAAAACTTGACCCTGATTCTATCCTTCTTGCATTCAGAGGCCATCTCAAGAATGGACTTGATGCATTGAACACCAATGACTGAAGCCAGACAAAGTGTGGGATGACATCAACATCATACATAAAGAAAGCAAAAGGTCATCAAAAAGATAGGAAAGGAAGAAAAAACCAAAATGGACGTCAGAAGAGACTCTGAAACTTGCTCTTGGACAGAGAGTAGCTAAAGAAAATGGAAGAGCTGACAAGATAAAAGAGCTGAACAGAAAATTCCGAAGAGCAGCTCTAGAAGATAAAGTCAATTATTATAACGAAATGTGCAAAGACCTGGAATTACAAAAGAAAAAGAGAAGAAGACGCTTGGCATTTATTTCTCAAGCTGAAAGAACTGAGGGAAAAAAATGCAAGCCTTAAGTTGCAATACTGAAAGATTTTTTGAGCAAAATATTGAATGATGGATTGAATTATAGATATATTGTGAAAAATGGAATTTCAGAACACTTAATGGTATTCATGAGGAACCAGTGCATAGACCAAGAGATAGTTGTTCAAATGGAACAAGGGGATTCTGCGTGGTCGCTGTCAGGAAGTATGTGTGTCAGGGTTGTATCCTTTCACCCTATTTATTCAATCTCTATGCTGAGCACAGAAGCTGAGAAGCTGGTCCATACGAAAAATGTGGCATCAAGATTAGAGGAAGACTCATTAACAACCTGTGATATGCAGATGACACAACTTTGCTTGCTGAAAATGAAGATGACTTGAAGCACTTACTGATGAAGATCAAAGACTATTACACCTCAAAATGAAGAAAACAAAAATCCTTACAAATGGCCAATAAACACCACAATAAATGGGAAATAGATTGAAGTTGCCAGGGATCTCATTTTACTTGGATCCACAATCAATGCCCATGGAAGCAGCAGTCAAGAAATCAGATGGCATACTGCACTGGGCAAAACTGCCACAAAAGACCTCTTTAAGTGTTAAGGAGCAAAGATGTCACTTTGAAGACTAAGATGCGTCTAACCCAAGCCAAGGTATTTTCAATCATGTCATATGCATGTGAAAGCTGGGCCATGAAAAAGCAGGCCAAAGGAAAACGGATGCATTGAAATTGTGGTGTTGGCAAAGAACACTGACAATAGTGCAGACTGCCAAAAAATAACCACATCTGTCCTTAGAAGCCAAGAATGGCCAGACTTCGTCTCTCACACTTCGGTCATGTTGTCAGAAGGGACCAGTCCCTGGAGAAGGCTGTCACGCTCGGTAAAGCGGAGGGTCGGTGAAGAAGGGGGAGACCCTCGCTGACGGACGGACACAGTGGCTACAACGACGGCTCAAGCACAGTGGCAAGTGAGGACGGCCCAGGACCGGTGGCGCTTCGTGCGTAGCTTGCAACGGCAACGAACAGCAATAAAAGGGCTCTACAGAACGTGTTCCCCTGAGCCAGCCACTCAGGTAGCAGAATCAGGAATCGAACCCACGTCTTTCACACCCAACTGAGTGCACTCCCCATTTTACCAGTGTCTCCCTTACCACCCGAGACACTTCCTGACCGCTTCTCTGGAGCAGGCCCTGCGGGAGGGCCTCTCAGGGTGGACTGCGTGTTTGTTCCCTTTATCCCACCTCTAAGATGTCGACAGAGCAGGTTGCCTGTTCCCCTGGCTCCTGTCAGGCCCTCTTGGAATACTCTTTCCGGCCTGGCCTCTACTTACTCAAGTCCAGGGGGAGTCACTCCATGGGTGGGCTCTGAAAATGGTGGCACCCCCTGAAATCATGCTGGCCCCAGGAGGACCAGGCCCCGGCTGACTCTTACACACCTCGGCCTGCTCAGGGCAGGACACATCACAGGCCCCTGGCCCCACGCATGTGTGAAGGTTTGTTGAACAAACATACCGGAAAACAAACAGTGCCTAGGGCTGCCCTGAGGCCACCGTACCACCAAGTCCACGTCCCAGTTTTGAAAAATCACTTGGCACCCTTGGGTGTCCTCAAAGCTTCCTGCTGGCACCCAGCACCCATCTAGCAGGTCCTAAAGAACACGGCTGTGATAGTCACAACAAATATTTAGTCCCAAAGCACCTGGCAGGGTTTCCTATGAGACCATGAGTTTCTGGGACACTCACTAGCTTCATGACCTTGAAGACACCTGGCCTCTCCAAGCCTCAGTTTCCCCTCCTGTAAATTGGGACCAGTACGGACACGAGGGGGAGCTCTGGTAGTGTAGTGCCTACGGCATTTGATTGCTAACCAGAAGGCTGGTGGTTCAAACCCACCAGCCACTCCTCGGAAGGAAGACTGGGCGATCTACTTTGGTAGAGATACCGCCTGGGAAACCCAAGGAGGGGTCGCTAGGAGTTGAACAGACTTGATGGCAGTGAGTTTGAGAGTTGTTTTTTTTTTTTAATGGGCATGAGGAGGATGGAATGAGACACTGTTTGCAAGGCGCTTAGCATTGTACCTGATCCCGATGGACTGTTTTCAGTCATCAGTAACAACAGTGGAAGTAAGCAGTGGCCTCGGTGGCTGAGTCTCTTACCTGAGGCCACTTGGGTGGTTCCTCTCTGCAGGAGAAGTTTCCCACACTCCTCTCCCACAGCAGCGTTGTTCTGCAGCAACCTGGGAACAGAGAAAGTTGACGGCCCAGGACAGCTGAGGCCTGAGAAGGCTGAGGCAGGGGAGGAGGGGAGCGTGCCACAGAGGGTGGGCCCGTGTGTGGAAGCAGATGCTCACAGCAGCCCTGTGTGAGCATGTGTGAACACAGAGGTGTAGCAAGGAACAAGTGGGCCAGAGAGAGATGCCGGGAAGCAGGTGGAGGCCAGGAGGCTGGGTGTCAAGTTGCCGGTGTTAGTTTCTATGCAGAGGTTTGCAAGGTGCGTGTGTGGGATGCATGTGTGTGTGTCTGTGTTGTAACTCCTTTCCCATTAAACCCATCACCATCAAGCCGATTTTCAACTCATCGAGACCTGTAGGACAAAGCAGAACTGGCCACAGGGTTTTTGAGGCTGTAATCTTTACAGAAGCAGACTGTCTCATCTTTCTCCGGAGTGGCTGGTGGGTTTGAACCACCAACCTTCTGGTTAGCAGCTTAGTGCTTAACCACTGCACCACCAGGGCTCCTTATTTAGACCCAAGTACTTATGGACCCCTGACCACCTACGAACACGCTGCTAGGTGCCAGAGGGGCAAGCGATGGTGAGAAGAACAGCTTGACCCACAGCCTTGGGAGGGCATAGGCGAGTCAGCAGGCTATTGCTGGACTATGTGGTCGCCTGGAGGGCAGGTGGTGTGGAAGCCCAGGACACGGGCCGCCCACCTGGGCAGTCAGGGCAGGCTTCCCAGAGGAGGTGACAGCCAGCTGAGGCCGGAAAGAGAAGCAGGGAAGTTAGCAGGTGCAAAGGAAAGAGGTCCAGGTGGAAGGGGCCACGGGCGGGAGTCCCAGAGGGAAGAAGAAAAGGTGTGGACGGACAGAGTGTGGGTGAGGTGAGTAGGGAATGAAGATAGAGGCCAGCGGAAGTGCAGGAAAGGACGTGGCTAGAGAGAGCGGGAAAAGGCGACAAGGTCCTACCCTGGGGTGTCTGGGGAAGAGCCAGGGAGCCTGATGCTCAGGGTCGAGTGCAGGGAGACAGGCTCGGGGAGGGGAGAGCTGCAGCAGAAGGGACCCTCCACCGTCTCGGCTCCCTCCCGGCGCCCTCCAGCCCCAGGCACTCACCTCTGCAGGACCTCCTCAGGGCTGTGCACTGTTGGGGGTTTCGTGGAGGCCTCCAGCTGCAGGACCTGCTCGATGGCTCTCTGCTTGTAGATGAGGAGGTTGTCTATTTCCTGAGGGCGCACGGCCACTGGGTGAGGACGGAGGGCCCCCAGCACAGCCTCCCCGGCTGCGGTGACTCACTCTGACCCAGGGGGAAGGGTCTGTCAGTTTCAGTCACAGCCAGCAGCCGTGCCCACGGCCCGGGACCGCGGAGGTTGGATAACGCAGCAGGAAGGGATCCGTACAGAGAGCCTCGCAAGGGGGCGGCATTCGGGTGACCGCATGAGTGCCGTTTCCGTGGCACCGCGGGTCGGCAACTTCACGTGGTCCGACTAATGCACGTGAGTTGAGGGTCCGACTGGACGGTGGCCGACAGCAGTGACAAGGCTTCCATTCCCCAGTGGCGGGCAGGAGGCCGTGGTGGTTGGGGTGCAGCTCACTGCAGTGCACCCACTCCCAGCCCCGGCCACCGTGAGAACAGCCGGCTGTCCACAGCTCTGCTGCCCCGGGGAACAGAGGGAGGCAACACTCCCCTCCGTCTCCCTGCAAATGCGCACCCCACCCGACTCCACCCGGAGAGGGACGCTGCCAACACTAAAGTGGGCGGGATTACATCAAGGGGGCTGGTCCGTCCAGTCTCACTGGAGCCTCCCAACAATGTGAGGTGTCTGCTAACACGGGTACTGCACCGGGGTTGGGGAAACTGCGAGGACAGATGAGACTCTGCCCTCACGGAGCCTGTGGCCATTTTATGGACGAGACAACAGAGACTGATAAGGTCAGCTGTGTCCCAGAGAAGCTGAGCCCTTGGACAAAATGCAGAACGTGGGTGGGCAGGAGACCTCCAGGGTCATCTCCTCCGACCATCTCACTTTATAGGTGGGGAAAACGGGGACCAGGGAGGCAAAGTAGCTTGCCCATGGCCACACAGCAGACACACAGGGACGGCCCTGGGGGTGGTTACTGGAGGGGAGAGGGCCAGTACTTTCCCCACTGTCCACATTCAGGACTGCAGGGTGTGTTGTGCATGCTTTCCACTGAGTGTGAGTGTGTGTGTGTGTGTGTGTGCGGGTTTGCTGGGCCATGTGTGTGAAGCTTCCTCAGCCTCCCCTCTGCGCCTCCCCCCCGCTCCCCTGGCTGCCCCAGGGCAGGACCAGAGAACGCCATTCCTGGTCCTCCTCCTTGTCACCAGAGCTGGGAAGACAACTTCATGATCCATCTGCATTCTGAAAGACTCCAGGCCAGGGTTTCCAAGGGCCACAAAGGTCCCTGTGCCCCCTTCCCTGCACAGCATGATGCTGTTCTTTGTTGGGGAGGTCCCCTGACACTCCTTGTTCACCCTCTGCCACCACCTCCTCCTCCCTGGTATCCTCCGAAGGAGCTAGGGTGAAGGCATGGCCAGGACCCGGGGATTCCCAGTGACGGCAATAGAAAGCCCCTTCTTACGCTGCAGTCCACAAAAAATGGTAATGAATCCAGCAAGATGAGCTTATCCACCATCTCAGGGAAGACACAGGAAAACTGTGGAACCAGGAGAACAGGGAGGCGTGAGCGGGAGCGGGCTGCAGACGCTGGGGCTTCTCTGGGCCGGGGGAAGGGCGCTGCACCCTCTTCTTCCCCCAGGCTATACCCCGCCTCAACCTCAGACTAGGGGCAGCCGGATTCCAGGGTTCTCTGTGACACAGGGTAGTGGAGAAGGCAACAAATTTACATCCATCCAGAATGTCTGACTGCTTCAAAGAACTCGCCCACAAGCCTGGTGGAACCCCTGAGACGAAGGCCCCTAGCTGCCCTTCCGGTCTGGAATAGAACCCGCTCCTGTGGCTTCCAGTCAAAGGAAAGGCAGGCATATGAGCTGAACAGGAGCTCTGGTGGCACAGTGCCTAAGGCATTTGGCTGCTAACCAGAAGGCTGGCAGTTCAAACCCACCAGCTACTCCTAGGAAGGAAGACTGGACAATCTACTTCCATAGAGATCAAAAACAAA